TCTGGGTCCTCATTTTACCCACCTCGGAAGGATGGAAGGCTGAGTCAACCCTGAGTTGGTGAGATTTGAACCGCAGAACTGCGGAACTGCAGTCAGCTGAAGTAGCTTGCAGTGCTGCATTTAACCACTGCGCCACCTCGGCTCCTCGACACTGATCTTGTCAGCTGGAAAGGGGAAAGACCCAGTACGAGACCTCAGCATGTCTGATGGGGTGAGCTTCCATTATTACCCATCTCCTGCCCACCTAGAGTTCGAAAGCCTGCAAAATGTAGGGAAATAAATAAGTGGAAGGTAACAGTGCTCCATGCACTCGGCACATAATCATGCTGGCCGCATGGCCATGGAAGTGTCTTCGGACAAAATGCTCGTTCCCTTGGCTAAAAAACAGAGACAAGCACTGCCCCCTAGAGTCAGACACAACTCAAAAAATCTTTACCTTTATATTTTTACTCTGTATTCATTAGTATTATCTTTGTGCTCTCTTTAAAACTGTCTAATAAAAATTTATATATAAAAAACAAGGAGGAAAATTCAGGTAGTCCTTGACTTACAATCACACTTGAACTCCAAATTTCTGTTGCTAAGTGAAACATTTGTTAAATGAGTTTTGCCCCATTTTACGACCTTTCTTGCTACAGTTCTTAAATGAATCACGGCAGTTGTTAAGGTAGTCACACAGTTGTTAAGTGAATCTGGCTCGCCCCTTTGACTTTACTTGTCAAGAGGTCGCAAAAATGAATCGCATAATTCTGTGACACTGCAACTGTCATAAATATGAATCAGTTGCCAAGTGCCTGAATTTTGATCGCGTGACTAGGGAGATGCTGCAACAGTCATTAAGTGTGAAAAAACAGTCATAAGTCACTTTTTTCCAGTGCTGTTGTAACTTTGAACAGTTGCTAAATGAACTGTTGTAAGTCAAGGACTACCTATACTTACAGGCCACAGATATTCCAGCAAGTTTTCTGACATGACAGTTTTTGAAATATCCTGTCTTCAACTGAAGTCTGTTTTGTAGTCACTCACAAGGAAAGTAAGCAAGCAACAGTTTCATTTTATTATTATTTTTGGTCAGGATGAAATACAAGGTTTCCCAAGAAGAATCAATAATTTTTTTATACTTCCACACAGCAGGAATGAGAAATACCAATCTCTCTAGATTTCTATTGCGATGATGGGGAAAAATTTAGTAGACCATTCTGAAAAGAAAAGAGAAAGAATGGAAACATTTTGAATGCTAAAGGTAGCAAAAATATTTAACCTGGCAAGAGGAAAAGTCAACAAATGTTTCTCAAGCCATATTTTGTTGCCACAGAGTTTCTATGGTTTGTTCTATAACCTTTGCAGTTTCACCTCTGCAATTTTTCACAGCAGAAAAGTATCATCACATTTGGGGGGGGCGTTTTTTTTACCTCATCGCTTAGGAAATATTGCATCTGTGCTATCATTTAAATACTGTTTTGTAGAATTAAGGAAAAAAGTTGGGACATGAAATAGTTCAAATAACACTTTTGCAATGCCTGACATGGCTCTCAATGTAGCCTGCGGTAAAATTTATCCTAATTTGTGGGTTGGCAACCTGTAATTTCGAGGCTACAAAAAGTGTAGCTCTTGCAAGTGTAGGGAACTCAACCCATTTTTACCCCATGACCAGCTGGCTGGCAGGCAGCAAACAGAGCTGTTTTCTCCCTGCTACAATAAGGAGAAAAAGAGAGGGGAGAAGGGAGGATGTTGACAAGTGGTAGATTAATTCAAGAGCATCTCCAGTCAGATCTGTATGGTTTATATGGTCTGTAAATGCTTCTCATTCTTGACCTACTCAGGGGGAGCAATAGGCACCAGGGACACACATATAAATGAGTCATATTTGGTGGGATATGGTAGTCCTCGATATACAACCAAAACTGAGACCAGAATTTCCATTGCAAAGTAAGGTGGTTGTTAAGTGAGTGAGTGCAGGTGTAATGTGAATCAAGCAGTCATTTCACATATCTGGCCTCTCCCATGGACTTTGCTCATTGGAAGGTTGCAAATGGCAATTATACTGCAACTAGTATAAATACATTGCCAAGCACCCAAATTTTGATCATGTGTCTTTAGGGAACCTGCAATGGTCATAACCTGTGAGGACTGATCATAAGTTACTTTTTTCAGTGTTGTTGCAACCTTGAGTAGTTGCAACAACGAATGGCTGTCAGTTGTGCACTACCTGCATTGCATGGGAGGGAATAGGAACAACCTTTATCTCAGAATGAAGACAGCACTGCAACTTCCAATGATGGGGGGTATGTGTCCAAAGTCACATTCAAAAAGATGTGAGCAAGACCAGGAAAAAAATGTTGGACTGTTGTCATTTATAACAACATGAGTTAAAAATATAACTACTTGATATAATTACTTTCCAGACACATTTTCAATTTCACACTTTTTCCCATGTCACATTCATAACAAAACCTCAGTAGCAAATTTTGGAAGTATCCATACAAGGATTTGGGGATTCCTTGCGCAGCAAACTCTCTAGTGAAAGGGGAAATGTAGCAGCGTAATATATGAATCTACTGCATAAACATTAAATTAACAGTATCTTTAAAAATCTGTATTAACATTTTACCATTTGGAAGAAAATGTGTTGCATCTCTTTACAGTTGAGTTTTGGATCACTAACAAAGTAGTAATTTTTGTTTAAAAATCAAGCTATTTTTTAAAAAAAAGATGAATTCTTTTTTTCCTAAATTCTAAAGTAAAATTAAATTATATGCCTATTTTATTTTTCCCCGCTTTCCTAAGTAGCTATAGAATCACATGGACCCCCACAAAAAAATCTTATTACTAATTCCTACTTTTAGATAATTCATCCAATTGGCTTTTACTGTCTTAGGGACTAGCAACATTTCTTTAAAAGACAACCGGTAGTTTTTAGGATTCAGAGCCCAGTTTTGGGGTGCACAAACTGGCTTCATGGAACACAAATTCTTCAGGAAACGTTAATGTTCCTAAATTGTCTATATTCTTTTGAACTGGATGACACTTTCCACAAACCATGCAGCTGCCTGGAGTCATGTTTAATTCAAATGCACTTTTAAGTTGGGTTTAGCTTGACATGGTGTGTCTGCCCCCTGTTGGACTTCTTGGGAAGAACCAGCGCCAAACAGTTTCAAGACTATGAACTATGAATTTTCCAATCATTCAACAGAGAATAAAAAAAACCGCACGCAAATACAATTATTAAAAAGGAAGATCAGCTAAGAGGATTTGGTTCTTATGAGCCCAAGGGTCAGCTACACTAGCCAGGTTGTGCATCATAGCTTAGTGAACAAAGCACAATTCTTGGGATCCCACAACACATTCGGGTAAAATGAATGAAACAGCATTGCACCTTTGTTTAAGGTTGCTCTACTTTTTCTGATCAGGAGCCGAACTCTTCTAGGTCGTGGGATCTTCTGGAGCTGCTGTGGCTTTCCAGATATTGCTAGAGGATAATGCCTATTAGTTAGGATTCATACCAGCGGTGAAATACTACCGGTTCACCGAACCAGTAGTAAAAATGCTATTGGTTCACCTGAACTGGTAGTAAAAAAATGGTTAAAAAAAATCCAGATGATCAGCTGTGCAATAATCAGCTGTGCCGCATGATCTTTGGAACTTTTTTTTCTCCCGAACTGGTAGTTAAAAAATGCTTTAAAAAGTGGAAAAAAAGTTCTGATGATCAGCTGTGCCGCACAATTTATATTCACTAAAAAGCAGGAAATCCTGCTTTTATATTCTCTAGAAAGCAGGAAATCCTGCTTTCTAGCGAATATAAATTGTGCGGCACCGCTGTTCCTCCCCTGTTCTACTTACCTTTGCAGACTCAGAAAAGGCTTCTTAGTGCCTGCGCAAAGTGAATCAGTAGCAGACTTCAGAGCATTTCACCCCTGATTCATACTAATTGGGGTTGATGCATCTTGAGGTCCAATACCTGAACCAGGTTTTTAGTGCATGTGTTCTGCAGCCGACTTAAGTCTACATTTTTAATAATATCTTTTCAAATCTTGGCTATAAGAGATCCTCAAAGGATCCTCAACCGTGCCACTCACCCAGCCACCTTGCTGTTCAATCCAGAGAGCCAGCCGGTCCCTTAAAAACCTCATGGCCCAGTCCATCACATCTCTGAATAAACTGGAGGCAGACTGTGGGTGTTGAAAAGAAGAAACACAAAAAATGATTCAAAACAGAACCTAAAATTTATAAGTTTTGGTGATCTTTTTTACTCAAAATATTGAGGAGAGAGCAATTGGGAAAGAATGGCTAGAAAAATCAGATTCACAGATTAGGAGTTTCTTGGCTATGAATTAAACCTACTTGTCAAAAGTTCAATAGAATGTTCTCCAAGGTTTGTGAATTCACTAGCTCATTTCAACCTGGTGATCAGTAAATTTGGACTTCCTAATTTGCAGTAATCATGGACATTTCAAAGGAATCAACTGTATGCAGGTATTAATTCAGAAGTAAATCAACAGATTTATTCTGTGCGCCCAATCAGTTTCTAGGGATGTTAATCTGTGAAAAGACACATTGAGCTAAAGAAGGACAAATGCCCTTCTAGCCACTTAAAAAGAGAGAGGTGAACCATGTTTTAAATCTGCTTCTAGCACTGAGTTGAGTGCATGATGTCTTTCTGAAAAAAAATGCCAGAATCAATTCTGTAGTTGAAAAACCCGGATGGCATGGTACGTGGAACAGAAGAAGAATTACTTAGTGATTTAGGGGCCTATTTCTTTCCTAAATAGGTGGGCAAAAAGTGAAGGATAAATGGGATGAGTGAAAACAGAGGTGAATTGCACCTGAAAGATCTGAAGAACACAATCCATAAGACAAAACAGGCAGGCACCTTAAATCTTGCAGAGGTTTCAAACATACAAAGCATCCGAGGCAAAACAAAAACAAAAAGGCTCAGGTCTCCTTTCTGTTTGCTTTTCCTTTAAAATGGGTATACAACGGCTTGACCAGAATAAATTATCAGAATATTCATGAACTGGCAGAGACATGGTAACAAGGTCAGCCAATGAATAGGCATGGTAACAGGTCATCCAATGAGGCTTATTTGGAAACAGAAACTTAAGTAAGAAGTCTGGGCTTGTCTGCATCTCTTAACTGAAACAAAACTGTTTTCTCCTCTGCCTGTGATTTGATTTTTGCAACAAACTCTGACATAACTGTGAATGTGGATAGGAGATAGAAAGACTACCCTTTTCCCCATATTATTTCTTTTTAACTCTCCATTGGCTTGTTGGTATAAAAGAAATGTAGAGAGTCATTTGGCATTTGTAGAAGGGAAAATAACATCATGTGTGTCATCAAACACCTCAAAACAGTTGGACCTTTAAATATCATGATGGAAGCCTACAATTGCATCATTTGCATGATGATGATTTACATGTCATTGTTTTGACGTCAGGGCTAGTAATGAATAAAGACCACCCAACTACCCTTTTCCCTGGAAAACTAATGGTTCCTTAATTAAAAACTAGCCAGTAATTTGGATTTTGCTAGCATACCATGCCATGAATAAAGTGAACTAGCCAAAGCAAAATCATAGCTATCAAACATGGTAAACAGAATATCTGACCCAGAAATAATAAGCAAGAACTATTATATTATCTCTTAGTGTGACATGCAAGCAAGATGAGAAGGACTCAATAAAGATTACCAATAAGGAGAGATGAAAGATTTTAATTAAGAGAAGCTTCATCCTTATAAAACCTCTCTTTCAGGCAAGGGAGAGTAATTTATGGCAAAAGGGTTTATGTGTTTGCCAAGTTGCTTTTCTGTAGCACAGTGAGTAGTCCTCACCATATCTGCTAAAAAGCTACATCAAACCTATCATTCCGGGGTAGAAAAATAAAATAAAATAATGCTGTTTCCTTAAAATAACGCTTAAAATACAAAAATAACTCCCAATTTTCCTTTCTCCCAACCCTGCCACCTGCATCCATGTGATAGGTTGCTCTCCTATTCAACCCACTTAAAAGTTTTAAGACTGTCCTCCCCCAAAAAGTCTCTCCATTCCAAAGCAACCTTGCCTTATGCAGGCACTGATCACTATATTTTTCAGAGTATAAGACGTTCCAGAGGATAAGACGCTCCGGAGTATAAGATGCATATTAGTTTTTGGGGAGCAAAACAAGAAAAAAAATTCTGCCAATGCCTGCCAGCATCCATTGGTACTCATCTGGCTAGCATCCTTGCAGCAAATAGCAAACAGTCTGGTCAGCTTCAGCACATTATCGCAGCCTGATTCAGCACGAGCCGCCACCGATTCCTGCTGCCTGGAACCTCCTAAAAGCACAATGCGCGGAAGCCAAAATTGGGGTGTGTGGAGGTTGAAAACATAACGCGCGGAGGCGGTGATCAGTGGCGATGCGCTGTGACGATCCCCACAGCCTGGAATGGGTCTAAAACAGAGTGTGCAGAGGCCGAAAATGCAACACGTGGAGGCCGAAAATGAGACACCTGGAGGCAGCGATTGGTGGCAATGTGCTGTGGCGATTCCTGCAGCCTGGAACTAAAACGGAAGGGTGGGAGCTGGTGGGTGGGCAGGGCTTCAGCAACAATTGGTATATAAGACACACCCAAATTTTCACCCCCTTTTAGGGAGAGAAAACATGCGTCTTATACTCTGAAAAATACGGTATATGGGTCTTACTATAACCCTACTGATTTCAGCCTATATTGCTTTTCCTGTCCCCTTCTTGAGGATGTTGCGACAACAGACATTATCACTTCAGGTTTCTACCTCTCTGAAAACTTCGTATGTAAAGTAGAAGAAGACAACAATCCGTCCCCAGTTGACTCCAGTAGCAAACATCTCCTCTGATACTTCGGCCAGACTGCGGAGTGGATTTTCACTGCTGATGCTTTTTGCCATTCTGCAATAGAAAAAGGACATCTCCGGGCAGTACAGGCAGTCCTCAACTTACAACCACAATTGAGCCCAGAATTTATGTTGCTAAGTGAGAAATTTGTGGTGAGTTTTGCTCCATTTTACAACTTTTCTTGCCATATTTGTTAAGTGAATCACTACAATTATTAAATTACTAACACGGTTGTTAAGTGAATCTGGCTTCTCCATTGACTTTGCTTGTCAGTAGGTGGTGAAAGGGGATCCCATGAGCCCCGGGGACACTGCAACCATCATAAATTTGCTACGGCGATCATAAATGGTCACAAGTCACTTTTTTCGGTGCCACTGCAATTTCAAATGGTCACTAAACAAACTGTTATAAGTTGAGGACTACCTGTACAATAAAAAGATAATTTTGGAAAATAAAGCAAAATCATGTAAAAGGTAGCAGATACAACAGGTCAAATCAGGTTTCATTTAAAATTTAAAAAAAGCTTTCATGGACCTTGAATATCATTAGAAGCCCAGGGCAGGAAAATGTATTTTACTAGAAGCAATAGAAACAATTTGAATCTCACTACCTTTTACCAGAAGCAGCTGGTGCATCTTATATCAGAACTGGTAAGATGTTCCACTATATTCCGTACGCAGCTTATTTTTTCATCTTATTAGGAACTGTATCATCAAATACAGCTGAAAATACACTCACGTAATAGACTGTATATATTCATCTGTGTTAATAATCCAGAATATGCTTTTTTAGGCAAGTAACAAACACTACACAAGGATAGTGTTAACCTCACTTCAGTGGGATTGGCTGCTCCATTCACTCCAGCAGAAGGGCCAAGGTGGCGCAGTGGTTAAATGCAGCACTGCAGGCTACTGCTAGATCAGCAGGTCAGCGGTTCAAATCTCACCGGCTCAGGGTTGACTCAGCCTTCCATCCTTCCGAGGTGGGTAAAATGAGGACCCAGATTGTTGGGGGCAATATGCTGACTCTCTGTAAACCGCTTAGAGAGGCCTGAAAGGCCTATGAAGCGGTATATAAGTCTACTGCTATTGCTATTGCTATCCTATTGGCCAAGGAATTTTGGCAGTCAGGGTCCAGAATAGTCTTTTCTACTGTGATTCCTGTGGAACAATATGCCCCTTGGGGTAAGATCTACCCCTAATCCAGGTTCTGGAGAACCGGTAGTGGAAATTTTGAGTAGTTCAGAGAACCGGCCACCTCTGGCTGGCCCCAGAGTAGTGTGGGAATGGAGATTTTGCACTATCCTTCGCTTGCCATGCCCATCAAGCCATGCCCACCAAGCCACACCCATAGAACTGGTAGTAAAAAAAATTGAATTTCACCACTGCCTTCCGAAAGGGCCTGAAAACCTGGCTCTGCCAATTGACCTTGGAGCCCTAATGGAAGTGATTTCCACATTGGAAGTGGTTACTAGGATGATAGAAATGAAACAGCATGGGGTCCACCATTGAACCCCTCAATACTTAATCAGGCTACTCATAGGGCTGAAGGACCTTAAGAGATCTTTTCATCCAACCCTCTGGCCAAAGCAGCAGTCCTTATGCCATCCCAAATGATTGTCCAATCTTTTCTTGAAAACCATCAAAGATGGTGGGGGCTATGGAATTCCCACAACTGTTTCATTGATTAATTGCTCTCACTTTCAGGAAGTTTCTCCTTAGCTCCAGGATCACCCTCTGACTAGCTGCCTCTTACCTTGCCCTCAGGTGCTATGGAAAATAAATCAACCCTCCCTTCCCTGTGAGAGCCTTTTATGTATTTGAAGACAGCTATTGTGTTACCCCTAAGCCTTCTCTCGCTTAGGCTAAACATATCTAGTTCCTTTAGCCATTTATTGTATGGTTTAACCTCCATCCCCCTTATCATCTTTGTTGCTCTTCTTTATGATGTTAGTTGTTCAAAAACCCTCAATAGTGATATGGAGACATATAAATTTAACAAGCAAACAAATAAAAGGCAACCAATCAGAGGTTCATTGGAAATTGGTCTTCTCCCCAAAGGGGGAATCAGAGTAGCCCACAGATGTGGGCTGGGTCCAATTGGTTTGTATCTTCCTACCTGGTGATATCTGCATTACTTCTGAGTTCCTGTAATATGCGGAGCATGTGCTCTTGCAATGAATACACCTGGGCAGCATCTGGCTCATCGTCTTCCCCACTTGCTTGCTCCTCCGGCAAGCTGTCTCCGCCAAGCTGATCCAAGGAGGCCAGGTGGGGAAAGCAAGCTTCAAATCGCTGCGCGAGAGTCTTAATCAATCTGCCAGAGAAAAAGGCATGAACAGATGTGGCATCTGAGCCTGGCACTTGAAGAAGATGGAGATTTAGCACTCTCCTACATTGCTTACCATCACTGAGCTCTGGATGGGAGATTCAAGATCACCGGCAGAGATGCTAAGAAGGAGCAGTGAAAAGACTCCTTAAAAAGCACAGAGCAGCCTTAGTGACAAAGTGATGCTCTTGAATGAGTTCATTTGATTTTTTTTTATCTTCCCTTTATTACTTTATGAGTGATTCAAGGTGGTGAAGAAGATACACAATACTCCTTCCTTCTCTTTTCCCCACAACAACTTCTAGGACAGTTCTCTGAAACTTCTCCCCCACAAATCAATTTACCCTGCAGTTGGACCTTCTGTGAGGCCCAAATTCAGCACATCTGGACTCTGCTCTATACAAGTAAGAGAAAGCTCGGAGAACATTCATTTATGTTCAAAATGTACTCATCATGTCACTTGTAAGGTCATAAGGTCATTGTTCACCAGAACAACTAGACAAAAGGAGAGTTTTTCCCTGAATGCCATCACTCTGCTTAACAACTATTTCCCACAACACTGTGAAATAATTTACTATTTCTATTTGCTGTTCTTTTTCTCTTCCTTACTACTATCTATCTCTTCCAACATTACTATAACCATGTTGCTTGTATCCTTCAATTTATATTGTTTTTAATTGTTTCCTAATACATTTTGATAATTGGTAACCTTGACTATTACTAAGTTTTGTATCTTTTTATTCTTGATGACTGTATTTTATTCTCCTTATGTACACTGAGAGCATATACACCCATGACAAATTTCTTGTATATCCAATCACACTTGGCCAATAAAGAATTCTCTTCTCTTCTTATTCTATATGGGAGCTGCTTGAAGTTGGTTATGAGATGAGCAGCTATATAAACATTATAAACAAACAAACAAACAAATTCTTGCCTACCCCAACAACAAGGCTTTCCCAATTCGAAGGATGTATGAAATGCTGGCAGAAAGTCCTTGGGAGAAAGAGAGAAAATATTTCAGTTGTTTACCTTCCATTTGTGTCGGACTGATCTCTAATTCATTCTCCTGCAAACTTGCTAAATTGGCTTCTGGTTTACTGAGAATTTAAGGAAAATAGACAGCAAGTTCCCTCTGGAGAAGCTGTCTTCCTAGGCTGGTGAATCTGACACTCATATTAAGAAATATCTTATTGGGGGAAAAGATGGATGGTTACATGTACATAGTAATTAAGATTTCTCAGTCCAAATTCAGGGGTTAGCTGTTGTGTGGACTTAGCCAAGGAATTGTTTAGTTCCTTTTTTAAGGAACCACAAGAGCATTTGGACTGACTGACTAAAGAACCTGTATAAGGAGTCTTCCCTCCTTAAATAATGCATGGATTACACATTTAACGCTGAACTGTTCCGTGACCCGTCAAAACCGCGGAGGACAAAATTGCGCTCGACGAAAGCACGCATTTGACGTCATCACAGCGCGATGAAAAAAATTAAAAATTGAAATAAAATTAAAATTAAAGCAAGCCGATTCACATAAAGGTAAGGGTTAGGTTTAGGTTTAGGGTTAGGGTTAGGTTAAGGGTTAGGGTTAGGTTTAGAGCGTTAGGGTTACGTTTAGCGTTAGGTTAAGGGTTAGCGTTAGGTTTAGCGTTAGGTTAAGGGTTAGGTTTAGGGTTAGGTTTAGGGTTAGGTTAAGGGTTAGGTTTAGGGTTAGGTTTGGGGGGGTTAGGGTAAGGTTTTTGCTTTATTTTTACATTTTTCGATCACAGCGCGATGTTTTCGTCACGTTGTGATGACGTCAAATGCGCGCTTTCGTCGAGCGCGATTTTGTCCTCCGCGGTTTTGTGGTGGAACCGAACTGTTCACATATCCTGTTTAAAGTACAGGTAGCCCCTCAACTTACGACCACAATTTTGCCCAAAATTTCTCTTTTAAGTGACACATTTGTTAAGTGAGGTTTGCCCCATTTTATGACCTTTCCACAGTTGTTAAGGGAATCACTGCAGTTAGTAACATGGTTGTGAATCTGGCCTCCCCACTGATTTTGCTTGTCAAAAGGTTGCAAAAGGTGAGATCACATGATCTCGGGACACAGCAGTGGTCATGAACCAGTTGCCAAGCATCTGCATTTTGATCACATGATTATGGGGATGCTTCAAAAAGGGTCATAGCTTAATTTTTTTTTTTAGGGCTGTTGTAAGTTTGAACGGCCACTAAACGAACTGTTATAAACTGAAGTCTACCTGTACATGTTATGTTAGAACAGTGTTTCTCAACCTTGGTGACTTTAAGTCCTGTGGACTTCAACTCCCACAATCCCCCAGCCAGCTGTGCTGGCTGGGGGATTCTGGGAGTTTAAGTCCACAGGACTTCAAGTCACCAAGGTTGAGAAACAGTGTGTTAGAAGCACGTTCCATTCCCCAGTGGAATCCTATAGCCCGGGATTATGTATACTTGTTGTATATGCTGACTGTGGTTGCCCGATGCGCCGATCCCTGGTTAAATTAACTATTTTTCTCAATTTATCTGAGTGCAGCACCATAAAGTCTGAAGCAGCAGCACGGACCGCCTATGCTCGAACCCCCCCTCTGCCTGTACCGAGGGGTGAAGCTGGCTGAAAAAGCCTCGGAATCCGGAACTTCCAACTCCATCCTTCGTTCCCTCCTATTCTCCACTGGGGGCATAAATCGGCTGCTCTTTTGCACAACTTTCTTACTCGATTCCCCGGGAGTTGTAACTGAGGCCATCGGCCGGTTCCTCCTGCTTCCCTCAGCAGCCATGTCGAATTCCAGACGATGACGATCGGCTCCCTTTGTAGGGTAACTTCCTCTGCCGGTGAAAATGAAAGGGGGCCAATTAAAGGCGTTTCCCCTGAGGGGATTTCCACTCCGTTCCCGAAATGTGGAAGAATTGCAAAAAGTCGGATGTGGTTCTTAACTTAACTGCACGCACACACACGCCTGCATTTAACTTCTGAGGAGGCGCGAGGTTTGCACCATGAAGTTTGAATCACGCCTTGCTTAAGCCATCATAGGCTTAATTGTGGTTTGTGAATGCTACATATGTCGTTATGTGCCCTCCAAAATCCACAATGAGAAAAGGGTACTTTATGGTAATGCTTCTCAATCTTAGCAATTTTAAGAGGTGTGGACTCCAACTCCCAGAATTCCTCTCCTGTCTGAGGAATTCTGAGAGTTGGAGTCCCCATCTTTTCAAATTGCTGAGATTAACAGATCAACAGAGTTGGAAGGGACTTTATAGGTCATCTAGTCCAACCCCGCCCCCACCCAGTCAAGCAGGAGACCCTACACCATTTCTGTCAAATGGCAGTCCAATCTCTTCTTGAAAGTCTCAAGTGATGAAGCTCCCACAACTTCCAAAGGCAACTGCTGTTCCATTAGTTGATTGTTCTCACTGTCAGAAAATTCCTCCTTATTTCTGAGTTGAATCTCTCCTTGGTCAGTTTCCATCCATTATTCCTTGTCTGCCCTTCAGGTGCTTTGGAAAGTAGCTTGACCATGACAGCTCCTCAAATATTGGAAGACTGCTACCATGTCTCCCCTGGTCCTTCTCTTCCCTAGACTAGCCATGCCCAGTTCCTGCAACTGTTCTTCATATGTTTTAGTCTCCAGTCCCCTAATCATCCTCTTCTCTGCACTTTTTCTAGAGTCTCATCTTTTTTATAGTGTAGTGACCAAACTGGATGCAGTACTCTAGGTGTGGCCTTATCAGGGCTTTATAGAGTGGTATTAGTAACTCACGTGATCTTGATTGTATCCCTTTATTAATGCAATTTAGAAATGCATTGGCTTTTTTGGCTACACTGCTGGCTCATATTTAGCTGGTTCTCCACTAAGACTCCAAGATCCCTCTCACAGTCACTGTTATTAAGCCTGATTTCACTCAGTTTATATGTGTACTTTTTTACCTAAGTGTAGGACTTTACTTTTCTCTACATAGAGATACACTCCTTTATGGCAAACTGTAGTTTTTGAATTCAGCCCAAGAACAATCCTATGCATCAATTCTAATTGTAATATACTGTTAGAATTGGTGCATAGGATCGTTCTTGGGCTGAGTTCACAAACTTCAGTTTGCCATAAACTGAGTGTATCTCTATGTAGAGAAAAGTAAAGTCCTATAATAACAGTAATATACTGTTAATGGGCATTCTTAACATTTTGGTTATTATGTCAGATGAATCCAACTACTATTGCAGTTAGTAAATCATGATGTGGCAAATGTGGATTAACATGCCAGCATTTCATTTAAAGTTAATCACCTGCATAATTCAAGCCATGAAGGCATTTCTACTGGACTTGCCTTGCCCACCGCATACCTTTTTAGTAACTTCTTCAGGTAAGCCTGCTCTATCCTGTGACCTCAATCCTTCATGGGAATGCCCACTATCTATTTTCCCCACTTATCCTAGATACTGTTATGTATGAGGCCAGACATGGGTGACTGAAGACAGATGGGTTTGACAGTGCTGTCAGCTAGAAGACATTATCAAGCAGGGAGCTGTTGAACATTTAGAAAAGGAAGTGTTTTAAAGTTGTATAAAGGAATTTCATAGGTTCGTTTAAAAAGTAAATGTAAAGAGGATACTTTTTATCATCTACGGTGAATTTGTGGCAAAGCAAAGGAACATTGGGACCAGATCTTTATTTTAATTCAGAAGATTCTGAATATAAAACTGAAACCAGATGTCTTTTAAGTTTGAAAGAAAATTTGGAATTTTGTTACTATATATGTAGACAATCACAATAATGTTACATGCACAAAGATGGATAGACACATCAACTCCTGCAATGGATGGTAAAAGCAACGGAGTTGGGGAAGATGGCAAAACTGTTTTAATTAAAGAGAATAATTTATCTAGTTTGTTTACACGTGGAAACTGCTTCTGAACTCCAAATTGAGGGGGGGGGAAATGAAAATTTGACTTTAGGTTTGTATTGGATATCACTGTTGTTACATAAATGGTTTTAATTAAGCAAAAACGAGAAGCAAAAAGTTGCTAATGGCTACTGCCTGATAAACAGGTGGCAGCTCCATTTGGGGAACATTTACTCAGTTCCAGATGACGCATGGTCTGGTCCTTTTTAAACCTGGAAGGTGGGCTAGATGATCTCTAGACTTGTCTACTGCAATACATTCCACAAAACTCTTTAACAGTGTGTGCAGATTGGAAGAAAAGTTCCCAACTCCATCTCCTTGAGTACAGGTTCTCCATAGAGCTGTGTCTTGAGTTTGTTACTGTTCACCTTGATGACCCACAACGGCTGTGCTAAATCGGCTACAAATACTTCATATTGTGAAGTATATGGATGAACCACCTTATCCGGGACAACAATGAAGATATTTATAAGGAAGCGGTGAAGAATCTTGTGGACTGGTGCAATAAAAGCATCCTGATTCTAAATGTTAATAAAACAAAGGAGATCATTGTAGATTTTAGAAAGAGCTGGCATAGTCATATTCAGTATCAAAGATGCATACTCAGTATCAAAGATGCAGCTGTAGAGGTGGCCAACAGTATTAAGTATCTGGGGGTGCAGATAACTAACAATCTGAACTGGTAACTTCAAACGTCATCCTTAGTGAAGTGTGCAAAGATCTGCATTACCTGCGTTGGATGAGGAGAGCACATCTTTCTCCTTCTGTCCTGGTCACTTTTTAAAGAGGTACGATTGAGAGCATTTTAACAAACTGCATCCCTGTTTGGCTTGGTGGCAGCAGTGTTAGATAGAAAGTCCATACAGAGAGTGGTAAGGACAGCTGAGAAGATTATAGGAAGCTCGCTTCCTGTCATTTAAGATACTGCTTATAAGCACTATGTGCCTAACAAAGCATTGTTAGAGACTCCACACACCCACTTCATGGTTTGTTTCTGTTGCTCCCCTTTGGGAGGACATTTCGAAATATTTCTAGGACAACTACCAGATTACATAACAGCTTTGTTCCCAATGGCATCCATATTGTAAACTTTCAAGATTCATTTTTCTCACCAAGTACACGTATACATCCGAACTAGACTGTGTTGTTTCTCTGTGTCATATATGTGGATATATACATAATTTTGTATTTATTTATTTAGTCATGTTCATGTAGTATATATTGGAGGGGGTGACCCTTTGAGAGCTGTATGCAGTGAGATTTCATTTTAATGTATGCCAATTAATGTACATTCAAAATGACAATAAAGTTATTATTCTATATTCTATCCCTCTAATGAGAAGGACAGACTCACTGAAGAGCTGGGAAAGATTGTGGGCAAAAGAAGAAGGGGACGACAGAGAATGAGGTGAATGGATGAAGCAGTCAGTGTGCGCTTAAATGGACTCCGTGGGATGGTAGAGGACAGTAAGGCCTGGAGGAACATTGTCCTTGGGGTCATGATGGGTCAGATATGATCTCACAAGTTTTGCATCTTGGAGCGAAGGGAAGGACGCGACAAGCGGGTATGCAAACAGCAACCTTTATTGAGAACAGAGTGACTACGATTCAANGAATACCCTCAATCAGCTGTTCCAGGCTGCAGGGATTGCCACAGACCATCTCTGCCTCCATGCCTCGTGTTTTTGGCCTCTGGTGGGGGTGGGTGGGGCTACATTTGGTGTATAAGACGCACCCAAATTTTCACCCTCTTTTTGGGGGGGGAGGAAGGTGCGTCTTATACTCCGAAAAATACGGTATTTAACTATTTGACAGCACCTGTTCCTGAGTGAACTACTAAGATCAATGTAACCAGTTCTCACCACATGCCAAATCACCATGTGATTTGTCTGGCTTTGGCTTAGTCTGTATGAATTCAAACATTTTTGAAGCCATGGTATATGGCTTAGTGTGCGGTACACACTCAGAACTGTGGATTATTAAAACATAGGGTTAAATAAATCATAGCTTAGTGGGCCACACATCTCAGTATATGCTTGTACTCAGAATTAACTATACTGCACAAAGCTTCAGTTCTTTGGCCCTGGAGTTTTGGTATTAAAAAACTGAAATCTGCTCACACCTTTGACATAGGTTTTCCAATCTGAAGGAAGTCAATGTAAAGTCCCTGTAAACTCTAAATGACATTTACACTGTAAATGAGAGCCAGCTTGGTGTAATGGGTAAGGTGCTGGCCTAGAAACCAGCAGTCTTGTGAGTCTTAGTCCCACTTTAGGCATGAAAGCTGGCTGGGTGAATTTGTGCAATCACTTTCTCTCAGCCCAACCCATCTCAAAAGGAGGTTGTGAGGAAAATAGGAGGAGGAAGGAGTATTATGCATGTTTGCCGCCTTGAATTTGCTATTGATGTTGAATTACTTATAAAGTAATAAAGCTGGCATAAAAAAAATCTAATAAGTAAACTCACCCATCCTCCCTGGGCTTGGATCCAGGACAGGACATGTTCCTGGATATATTCCATAGTCCAGCTGATGACAGTCCTTAGGAGCTCTGGTAATTTACTGCACACTACCTGTTGAAAAAAGACAAAACGGAGAAAGAAAGAAAAAAATAGTTATTAAAAACAGCCAAAAGGGGGGAGAAGTCCAAAAATGAAAAATGAAGCTAAAAATCAACAGCAACTGGTAAAGGTGTCTGAAAAAGGGGAAGACTAGAAATGACATGATGGAACGTGGTGGCTCAGTGGCTAAGACACTCAGCTTGTCAATCAGAACGGTCGGCAGTTCAGTGGTTCGAATCCCTAGTGCCGCATAATGGAGTGAGCTCCCGTTACTTGTCCCAGCTTCTGCCAACCTAGCAGTTCAAAAGCATGTAAAAAATGCAGGTAGAAAAATAGGGACCACCTTTGGTTTGAAGGTAACAGAGTTCTGTGCACCTTCGCCGGCCATATGACCATAGAGACTTGTTTTTGGACAGTCTCTTGTTTTAATCCTTTTTAATATTTTTCATTTCTGTAAGCCGCCCAGAGTCCTCCGGGATTGGGCGGCCTATAAATTCAATAAATTCAATAAATGAAATGAGCACTGGCTCTTTAGCTTAGAAACGGAGATGAACACTGCCACAGAAGTGGGTTGCTCCTGATTCGGCTTGGTTTGGCTGAACCGGTAGTGGTGATTCGGTCTGGGTTTCAACTTGGGCTGGCCACAGCCCCGAAGTGGTTCCCTGGTCTCCTGCCGTTGCCAGGATGTTTCTGCGCATGTGCAGAACAAATTACAGTCAACTGCGCATGCATTAGCAAAGTGCGGCAGCTGCAGGGGTGAGTGAATAGCAATAGTAGCAATAGCAGTTAGACTTATATACCGCTTCATAGGGCTTTCAGCCCTCTCTAAGCGGTTTACAGAGTCAGCATATTGCCCCCACTGTCTGGGTCCTCATTTCACCCACCTCGGAAGGATGGAAGGCTGAGTCAACCTTGAGCTGGTGAGATTTGAACCGCTGAACTGCATATAACAGTCAGCTGAAGTGGCCTGCAGTACTGCACCCTAACCACTGCGCCACCTCGGCTTCTAAGCAAGCAGCGTGCAAGCAAAGCACGCACAAAGCGAACTGGTACCAACTGGTACAGGAACCCAACCCTGCACCGCCCCCTAGAGTCAGGAATGACTAGCATAAATGTGCGAGGGGAACATTTACCTTTAGAAATGACATACTTACTTTTAGGACCAACTTGCATGCAAAATAAAACAA